CCCTGTCTACTTATTGCATTATGGTACTTTAAAGATTTTACCTCGGCACCCGTATCCTTCATAGTAAGGAGTGAAATGTTTATGAGGATGGGTGTTTACTCATGTATTTAGGAAGGAAACGCGGTTAAAGTAAATTCCCTATTCATTTGAAACAATTTTTTTATGACAGTACTAAGGTTACCATATTACCATGCAGTAAAACGGGGAATAAACAACCCTTAAAATAAAATGTTTAGTGAACAAAGAGACGTATAAAAACTGATCAGATTTGTAAGTTTTGACTGAGTGATTAGGAAGTTTTTGTGAGTAATTAATTTTTTAGAGTAGTAATTTGATAATTTCAATAATCGCTTTTGTTGACTTGATTTGCAGAGAATACAGACAGGACATTTGTGGCAGACTATTTTAACGTATTGTGAGCCATCAACTTAGTTTTAAAACCTTTCAGATGCCCATACAACGCCCAACAATTTTGGTTTGTTTGTCAGGGTTTGATCCGACCGTTGAAAATGGGGAAAAACTCTGTATTCGGGTTGTTTTGGTTTTTTTTGTGTTATAGTTTTTTTGTTTTCCAAGCAAAATATGTTATCAGAAATAATGATCGGATCGGGTTGAGTGATACATCATATCAAAGCTCTTACACTCGTGATTCGAACCACAATTAAAACTTCAAAAAAATTTTTTTCCGGCGTCCAGAAAATCCGGTTTGAAATTTTCGATTATTCGTCCTAATTCGAGCAAATAAAGCGAACGAGCAGTCTAATTTAGACCTTTAAATGCTTGAAAGCTGGTAATAGCTTAATTTAAAAGGTATAATAGTCTTACTTTAGTAAGTTTAGTTTACTTTAGCGCCTTTTTGGAATCAAATTTTTCAAAAATATAAAAAACTGCACATTTTTTTTCGATTATTTTTTTTCGTTTTCCTTGTAATTTTCTACAAAATTGTTTTCGATTTGTTTGTTTTACTATGGCTGTCGAAAATACCTAATTGCTAGTTTTTGGTCTGCTCTTTTAATCACACCACGCCAAAAAAAAACGACAATAATTTGAAAAAAAAGAACGTTTTTGTATTTTTAAGACTAAGGTCGAGACATTTTACGCAACTTGCGCCGCAACCGGCAATCGTTGTTATTTTTCTGAGTAGTAGGGAATTAAGAAAAGAACTTTCTTGTTAACCATTTGTTTCGAAGGAATTGTTCAAATGTGGCTTCCATCTTTTATGTGACGCGTCTGTTTTGAATCTTGTTTTTCTCGCATTATGGAAGTATTGATTTTCTGTGATTTCGATAATTTCCCATTTTTTTTTCTAACCTTAATTAGTGTGGTTCAACCATTTTTCAAAAGAATTCTCGTTTAACGGGGTCTTAACGGCGAGTATAATTTTGAAAAATTTGACAAAAATCTAGTATACTGATTATTGTGGGCAGTGAAGGATCTTAATTTCAAACGAGTTAGTTATAGTTTTCATTGCGACAGTATTTTCTACCAATGTTTTTTCCTCAATCAAAAAAAACTAAAACCGAGCCATTCTATTGATTTAAAAAAAAAAACAGATTTTCTCCTTTTTAACTGCCATGGTGTTGTTGTCCGAAATTCGTAGGATTTTAGGAGCGATTTCTCTGTAATCGATGAAATTCCCTGTGGAGGCAACTAAAATGTTGTCAATATAACAGCTGGCGTTTAAAAGAGAATTCGTGTCGCCTGAAAAAATATTATTAAGAATTTATAAGTTCCTGTAATTTCACCACCAACTTAGCTAACTTTGCAAAGGTTTTTCGTTTTCTCGCATAGTGGCAACTGACTGTGTGCTTTTCTGCGATCCAGCTTAATAAACCAAAGTTCATGATTGGACTTTGAAGAAAACTGAAGTGCTACATTTCAATGAGCTCGTGGATATCAGATATTTGATATAGATTAGTGGATATTGGATATATGGTTTTTAAAACTTAACATTCGAACGCTAGCTTCATGCCGCCTCATTTTTTCAAATAGTAACAACTGGTATTATACAAATGTTTTTTTTTGCGTGTATCTAATTTCTCGGTGTGTCTGTTAGATTCTTGCGATTTTTTAGTTCACCATTAACTCATTTCATAATATGTATTGGCAATTGTTTACATATTATTTGCACTGGCTTAGGGGGTACGTGAAGTTGTGTATTTTTTGTTGTTCTGGAAATTATCCAGTCGAATAAAAAACCTCTTCAAAGGATTCGTACACGTTGGATATTAGATCAAATAAAACAAACTACTCTGCTTTATGAATTGAGCAACACTGCTGCGTTGTCTATGACATCTTTTTTGAGTCACTCAAATTTGTAATCTAGCAAGTTGTCCTTCCCCAGGGTGTGTATCTTACAGGAGCTTACGAAGAACGAAGTTTCGTTTCAGATCCAACCATTGGACCATTGGATGACGCCAACCATTGAATGCAGACCTAACCATGTGGTATTTGTTTCTACTGTTGTTATGGGAATATCTTCAGCCGAAAATCTTTCAATTTATTTTGTGAAATCCATTGGCTTTTGAAAAGCTGACGGGGCTGACTGTCTATAGAAGAATGTTCGTATGTACAACTGAGTCTTCTCGCGAGCCAATGCTCATAAGTGTTTTCTTTTTGAGGCCGTTTTTGCTACAAATAATGCAAATGCTTAAGCCTGAGTAGTCGTTGTCATCGTATAAGCTTCAGCTGGACTCGCTCCAGGCGTTAATGACACCCTGAATTGTTGAGATTTGTCTATTCTCTTGAGGTACTTCAAAGTAGAATGGACTTTCCTTGTTTGTACAATTCTGAATATTAACATCGGAATTGTTCTTTACAGTATTAACATTTGCACATTTTGCCGAACTGTCTTCATCTTTACATATTTTACGATTAATGTCTTTTGCTGGAAATGCGTTCAATTCACCTTTGATAAAATGGTTTCCTCATTTCGTGCAACCATTGGTTTTCCAATAGTCAGCCTTGATTCTTTTTTTAGAAACTAAAAAAAAGTTATTATTTAAAGCGTTTTTGCGAGTTTTGAATGGTTTGCGAAGCCTTTTAAGGTCTAACAATTCGGAGAGCATCAGCTTGCAGATAAAATATCTCCTTGGAAATGACAGTTTTTAATGCTGCAAATAGCCACATTTAGATCCGTTACAGTTCTTCTTTTTCTGCTACTTCACAAGTTCTGGACAGATTGGTAATTGCTCCTATAAATTTTTTGACATTTACCTATCACGTTTTTTCTTACTCAAGATTTTGTAGAGTTCAAATCCTCTGTTTTTTCTGTTTCGTAAAAATTTTGTCTAGAAACTTCCAAAAATCATTAATTTAGATATATAAAATCTTTACATGGGCGTTTACTGAGTAAAAATATTTTCGCCGCCCTGCACTGAGGACTAAAAACAAAGTGGACAATATTTTCTGCCCCTTGTCTTCGCATCCCACTGAACAATTTTTCTCGTCTAAGATTCTTTTTTTTCGGCTAGTTCATTTGGCTTCTCTACATTTTTTTTCCTTTCTGACATTTTTTCTTCCTCCTTGGTCGCTTGTTCCAGGACAGGACTCGATATTTTTGAAACAAATGATGATTTCAAATTTTCAATGTCTAGGCTTTTTGTCAAGGATCGCTAAATGAAAGTGATCGGTCCAATAGCTTCGGGTATTGGAAGGTTTTAAGGCTAGTCTGGTCAAAAGATGCATTTCCTAGGAGGTTCGAATCGATTTTTTAATGCGCTTTAATAAAATTTTTTAGTAGTTTAACTAAATCTAAAAATAAAAGAAATTGAAATCATAGTTAATTGAATTAAGATTGGCTGTCCTTTTCAGTTAAAACAGGTCAACTGAAGGTTAAAGTCCCGTTTGAGTGATATGTTAGTCAGGTCCCAGTTGCAGAGTGCAATTCCAATGAGTCTATTACTAAAAAGCGACAAAACATGACTTAAACTTAAAGTGATTTAAAGCCATTCTATTGCTACTAAAATCCGTATGAAATGTAAACCACAAAAATGTCTGAATTGGATTTAAAACATTTTAGAAATGAATTAAAATCGATTCTGTTCATTCTAAATTGTTATAGAGCGGATTTGTGACTCTTCGCACAAATCTTACTGTCGGCTTGATTAATAGTCTAAGCCTTAGAATCGCAAAACTAAGTTTCACATGAATCTGATTGAGGGCCTTACATCCCCGCACCGAAGAGCTTGATTTTGAATTCGAATTAAACCGTTTTATAAAAATAATATACTGAGTAGAAACCGATATACGATGGCCCATTAAGATACCTGAATTGATCTAGAATGAACTAAATGGATTTTCCCGATAGATAGAAAATTGTTTTCTTTGCCTAAAAAGGCATTTAAACCGGTTTAGATGGATAATGCAAGGTAGTGAAATGTATCAAAATCACGCCAAGTTTGATTTAATTTAACTTTTTTTGTTTTTTTTCCCAAAAAAACCTCCATCAGACTTACAAAGAGCAAGAGTCAGTGGAGAGAGTTCTTTCACGAAAGCTAATGCATTTAAGAGTTTCAGTATCAGATTGTGCAATTCTAAGTGTTCCCGTGGTAATGAAAAACATTACATTGCAAAAAATCTTCAAATTTGAAATTTTTTCAACGTTATAGGCCTAGTTTTATTAGGCAAATAACAACTGATATTAAAAATTACATTTAAAAATACATTTTGGGTGCAGAAAAATTGCAAAATTTAGTGCTCGTAGTTTGTTTTCAGACCAAACATTGAAACGAAACGTCAACTGAAAGAAAAAAAAGTTTCAATAATGTTTGATAGCCTAGAAAACCTGTTAAGAATCGACTGAAGTGGTTTTTATACTACGTTCTTGTATCAAACTAATTAGATTTTAAATCAATTAAAATCGGTTCAATTTAGGTAGCTGCTACCTTATCTTTTTAATTTTCTCTGCAATCCAATTCTTCTCAATACGGGTCAGATTTGAAATGATAAATCAAGCTTGATTCTTTTTATTTGAATGGTAAATCATATAATTATTTCAGCGTGCACAAAACTCTGCCTGTCAGTTGTTGGGTACACATCATCCACAGTGGAACTGCAAGCAAACTTAATTCATCCTCAATATCAGTTCACGTGGGCCGAGCATCACATAGTTTGCATTTCATGCGACGAAAAAATTGACGTTTTATATTTTGCAGACGACAAATTGTCGGTCTCTTTCAATTTGGTTGAATTAGAAGCTGGTACATTCTACTTTTTGACAATATTTGCTCATTACATTCGAGTACCTCCGGATGATCCAAACTCTCGGATCGAAAAGAATCTTCGAATCTGCACGGGTAAGACCATAACCATCAAATTCAAAAGCAAAAATTGATAACTGATTTATCAAAGAAATCAAATGTTTCAGGTCTGACGGAACCTTTGCTATCTGTGATTGATGTAGATTCAGAGCCCGGAGCACCAATATTTGATGCCGGTTCTTTCCACAGTGCAACAGTTGACACTCTATTGATCAACGCAAACAGGCTAGAAGTGCAAGTTATCATTGGGGGTATCGATTATTACTCGCTCAGATCTATCACCCCCCATGGGTCTCCATCAAACGGGAGTTGGGTCTCTTTTGCAAATAGCCTTAAGATCACAGGACTCATGCCTGGAAGTAGTTACCACGCAACGTTCACAAGTCGAATCAGTACAAGCAGCTGCGGAGATGTCGATGGCGAGCTTCAGACTACTTTAACAAATCTCTGCACTGGTTAGACTTAACTTGTCTGTCTCATTTTTGCAGTCCAGATTACGACATGGGTGTTGTTTTTTGATAAAAGTTTGCAATAACCTCAATTTCAAAATTTGTTTTTGCAAGAAAAAAACCATGCCACAATTCATATAGTTTGCTTTAACATTTAAAACTCTAAAAGCTAATTGTTTTATTCAATTGTTCCTCGTGCTTATTAAAAAAAAACATTATTCAAAAAAGCTTGTTAAGCTGAATTTAAGCTGAGTTGTTAAGACCAGCAAAACAAACATTTTGGTATTGATGCGATAATGAAGTCGAGAAAAATAATCTTTGTCATACACAAATGATGCAAAAAACAATAACTTACAGAGCCTTACTTCAACTCCAAATTAAGAATAGGAGCATTTGTCAGGAAAAAGCTTAAAAATATTCAAAAAATATGTGGATTTAGGGCAGTTTCAATCAAATAAACAATATTCATTTGTACCCAAAAAAATCGCGAATTATTGGTCATTATTTTGCAAAAAGTGCTCAAAACGCTTTTTTGGCCTGTTTGTTTTTAAGTTCGCCATCGGCGCAGCACATTTCGTCGAAATAAGATCTTTATAAGGGTTGTGGAGTTCTGAGAAAACTTATTTGCTCGGCCTAAAAAATGTCGGCAAAATTTTCAATATATATATTTTTAAATTAGCCCCCGTCAAGAAAATCCTAGATCCGCGCCTGGTTTAGATATGCTTGAAATTGGATAAAGTTATGTATTTTCAAAACTTTCACGATACGAGTTTCAACTTTTTCTTTGAGCTTTTCACAACAGGATTAACAAGATAATTGAGCCTCAAGTCCACAAAAATTTAGCGAAATATGTTTTAAATTGATTTCAGTGCCTGCTGACCCATTCATAACAGGAATTGCTCTCTCGTCTGACAACGTATCAATCATTGTGCATTTTAACGAGGTGCACGGGATCAGGCTGGCCTCTACTGGATCACGAGATCACCACGAGGTTTCATTCAATTAATAAAACTATTTTTTTGCGACTGTTGTTAAGTTTTAAAAAAGTTCTGGGAAAATTAATAACCAATTACTTGATACTTTTTTCATAACTTTTGTGGAATTAATTTTTTAAAGTAAATTGTAATCGACCTGCAAAACTTTTATGAGTCTGACAAAATAAAAGCAACCAAACATCACAACCAAATGTTTTTTATATAGAACAAAAAACAAAGAAAAAAGTTCTCGGAGCTTATCAGCTTATATCACAAATTTCTGAATACATTACAGTTTTTTAAAAGTAAGATTTAAAGTGTCACATTATGTAGTCCACTAAAACCGAAATCAAGAAATTTCAGCAAAAAATTGTTCACCGACTAATATACAACTAGTGAAAAACTGTTTTAATCTTATATTACAGTTGAATTGAAGTTGATTAGAATTGCAATCAGTTGCAATGAAACCAGACTAGAAATAGAAGCCTGTTGTAACTCTTACTTCAATGTTTGCAAATTTGGAACTCTAGAAAAACTGAAGTAATTGTATGAAAACCGATTTGAAATAATTCCATTTGAATGGTGAAGCACAAGCGAACTGCATGAATTTTTTTAAAATTTAATGAGGACAAATGGTCTTGTATGATGAGAAAAAAATTATGTACTTTCTAAAAATATGGAATGAAAACAGCGGCAAAAAAGTGAAAGACATCAATAAAAGCATTTATTTTATAACAACCAGTCCTATGCCCGCACTCATTCTATCACTTTTTTATCCGTTTGCTTTTTTCACTATGTGCCTGCTAAATAGATTCGTCTCATCTTTTGAAGGTGACCGCTCTGTTTCCAAATTCGGATCCTGCATACACAAATGAAGGCTCATCTGGAGAAGATATAGTCCTTTCTGGGCTAGTTCCAGGCACCAGTTACATTTTTACCCTTAGAAATGTCATCGGTGTTGCAGGCAAAACAACCTGCTCTTCTACTCAGGACGAAGGCTACTCTAACATCCTGAGAAGTGCAGATGTCAATGTAACTAGATGCACACGTAAGTCATAATAATGTGGTCGATTCTCGGGTTAGCCGCTAAAACTGGCACTTCTTCGCGGAAGAAGGATAAGAAATTTCAAAAAAAAAATGAGAATAAACTGAAACTAAAGGAGTGATTTTGCAGATTGCACTCTGAGAGTGTAAACTCGTCAACAGAAATCGCGTTTTAAACTTTGACTCTAATTTTGTGGCATTCTATTTGAAAATAAAAGTGCAGTTAAAATGTCCTTGGAGAGAAATCAATGTTGGCGGCTTATTCGAAGGCGTGCATTTTTTTGCTCTTTTTTCACATTCTTTCACAATGTTATCCATGGTTTCATAACGCTTCCTGCGCAAAACTAATCCCTAAAGACAAAATTCCTGCCCGATTTCAAGGATCATTTTGTAAAATTTGTTAATGCAGAAAAAGAAGACGCGCAAATTAATTTAGCCTAGTCTGATGTTCGGTAATTTTTTAAATCACACTTGTAGGCCAACCATAAGCTCGCTTTCCTGTAGTTTTATTTGACCTCAAAAATTTCCACGAAATTTTTTTAATTAAAACTCAGAAAATTGTGAAGGATCTAAACCAGATTATATACTGCGCTCAGTTGAAGCTCTGGATTGGAAATTTCGCAAAATAGAAGTTGGAGCAAAATCTGCCTCTTTCCTATTTCAGAAACTGTTTTAAACTTGGAATCTTAGAGCGGATTATTTCTCTTGACACATTTATTAGGATTCTTAAACATCGAACCCCTTTAAAACTAGCTAATTGGGCTTGCATTGATTTCAGTACCGGCTGACCCCTTCATATCAAGGAATGCTCTTTCATCTGACAAAGCATCAATCACTGTACACTTTAACGAAGTAACAGCCTTGAATGGATCACGAGATCATATCGAGGTTATTCTTTTAATAAAACAGACATCTTATGCGCACAAGTTTTCATTGCTGCAGTTGTTTTGTCATGGAATTTTTGGCGAATACAAGTTTTCCCATTTTGATAAATTTACTTAAGATGATAGAAAGCATTATCATCATTTAATCTGAGTGTTAGCCAGAAAAACAGCTTTTAACCAACTAATACTTCACCAAGTTTTCATAGAGTAACAAATAAAGATGTCTTGATATCTAGATTTGAAATAACGTGTGAATGATATGTTCGCTTACATTTTAAGTCTAAATTGCTTTTGGTTTTTGTAGTTTAAAGATCTGTGAAGTATTTATGGAGTTTTTATCACCAGTTTTTTGAATGTTTTCATCCACCTGATAGTTATTTTAATTTTTTTTGAAGGTGACCGCCCTCTTCCCCAATTCAGCTCCTGCATACTCTAAATCGGGCTCATCTGGAGAAGACATAGTTATTACTGGTTTAGTTCCAGGCACTAGTTACGTAGTCACCCTCCAGAATGTCATCGGTGTTGCAGGTGAAACTATATGCGCCTCTACTCAAGATGGAGGATACCTTAACGTCCTGAAAAGTGGAGAAATCAATGTCACAAGATGCACAGGTGAGTCGAAAAAACTTAGATGTTTTTATAATCACATGAATACAAATTAGCAGCTAAAGCTGGTAGTTCTTCAAAAAAAGACAAATCTTTTGTCAACTTCACAAGTTTGAAATACACATCCTAATTTCAAACGTGCGAATTCACAAAAAAAATTATGTATGCTGAGTGAAAACCTTAAAAAGCGAAGGCCTAAGCAAAAAAGGCTTAAGATCTGACCTTAGCTTGCGAAAGTTTACTTTATAGTATTGACTGCAGTTAGCAAAAAATCGCTGGGTCGCCATTTTTGGCGGCTTTTTCGAGGCTAGCTCTTATCGCTTGTTAGCTGCAATGAACTGTTTCATTATTCAGTTTGTGAAGTAATTGAGAATTACTCAAAATTAGAAACAAGAAAGAAACGCACTTCAATAATAATTCAACTAGGTTTGTCGACAACTTTTCAATTTTTAAATATGTTTTTTTTAACAAAAATTGAGTTGAACAATTTTTCTCTGATATTCAGTACTTCTACATAGAATCACACATGTAGGCCAACTATGAGTTCCTCTACGTGAGGCTTCTCTGAGTTTGTAAAATTTTCACTATGAAACATTTTCTCTATTTTAAAAATCGTAGGAGACGACGACCAGATTATATATTGCGCTTAATTAACCCTGGAGCAAAGTATGTTTCTATTTACAAAAACGGAATTAAACTTTCGGCTTAGGACCGGATTAAGGATCTTGACACACTTAAAAGGAGTACTCACCATCGAATCTCTTCAATATTCGTTAGTAATGATTATAATGATTCAGTGCCAGCTGACCCGCTCATATCAAGGCATGCTCTCTCGTCCGACAAATGGTCAATCACTGTACATTTTAACGAAGTAACGGCCCTGACTGGTACTCGTGATCACATTGAGGTAATTTTAAATTATATCTGTTCCCGGTTTCTCAACAAAAACATTACTTAAAATAATGGACTTGTTTTCTATGCGTCTTGACTAGACTTCCACTTTTCATCAAAGCCTCATACTTTTACTTTACGTCCTGTAACCATCATGTAACCTGATTGTAAAGCAAAACATCACCTTTCTACTCAAAAATCATTTTAAAAAATTTCAAAGCAAAATCGAACTTAGTTGTCATGGAGTAGCAAACAAAACTGCACTGAAGAAAACTGGAAGTTTTTTTGGAGGTTTGAATTGCTTTTTGCTCTGTGTCGTTTTCGAAATTTTGAGTCATTGAAATTTTTTTTTAGCAGTTATCAGCTTTTGACAAAAATTTTTTAAATATTTTGTTTTAATAAACCGGCTATTGATGCTCAACTAAACTTTAATAGGTGACCAGTCTCTTCCCCAACTCAAATCCTGCATACCAAAACGCGGGCTCATCTGGAGACGATATAATCCTTAATGGATTAGTGCCAGGCACCAGTTACACAATCGCCCTCAAGAATGTCATCGGTGTTACAGGAAAAACTATCTGCGCCTCTATGCAGGACCAAACATACTCCAACGTCCTGCAAAGTGGAAATGTCAATGTAACTAGTTGCACCTGTAAGTCAGTAGCTTGTGGATTTTATTCATGAATAGCAACTGTTTTGATCAACTCTTGTTTAAAATGGACAAATAATTTAGGGTTTTAAGCTTTTAATAATGGTTGTTGGTCTGACCGGTGAACTTTTTGATAACATGAATCAGATATATGAATAATTAATTAACCCAGACTTTTTTAGCTTTAATTTTTTTTCAAAATCCAAAAACATTGAAATGAACTAGTTAATTTGTTTTTAAATTTTGTTTTCTAAAAGCTGATCAAAAATCTTCACACACTTGTAAGGAGTTTTTAAAATCAGTTCTCTTCAATATTAGCTAACAATGCCTATATTTGTTTCAGTGCCAGCTGACCCATTCATATCAAGAATTGCTCTCTCATCTGACAAAACATCAATCATCATAATTTTTAACGAAGTAACGGCCGCGACTGGGTCACGTGATCACATTGAGGTATTTTTAATCAACATTATTGAATTAGTGTGTGCGCCTATTTTCATCGACTTAGTAATTGGCAAAAAGAGTTCTGATATTTGGAAGGTTCTTTTTTCTTAAATTAATTTATCATCTTTCTCTGTTATCGATGTTAGTTATATTGTTGTAATTTGATTGTAAGCCGGAAAAAAATTTCAAACCCAAAATTTGAAGAAAACTTAGAGTTTTTTTCACGGGTTAAAAAAAACAAAGTTGCATTGAAAAAAGTTTTTAGCTAATATCAGAAGCTTGAAAAATTTTAGATATATAATGTTCAGCCAATAGTGAAAATTTTTTGAGGCAAAACTCTATGATTGATAAGTAACTATTGAAACTAATCAGACACTTGATCCTTAGTTTTTGCTTAAATATTTTCGATTGATCCTGCTAACGTGCCTCATTTTTGAAGGTGACAGCTCTCTTCCCCAATTCAGATCCTGTATACACAAATGAAGGCTCATCTGGAGAAGATATAGTAATTTCTGGGCTAGTTCCAGGCACCAGTTACATTTTCACCCTTAGAAATGTCATCGGTGTTGCAGGCAAAACAACCTGCTCTTCTACTCAGGACAAAGGCTACTCTAACATCCTGAGAAGTGCAGATGTCAATGTAACTAGATGCACACGTAAGTCATCAGAATTTGGTTGGTTCTCAGTTTAGCCGTTAAAACTAGCACTTCTTCGCGGAATAAGGGTAAGAACTTTTAAAATAAAAATTGAGAACAAAATCGAAACTAAATAATGTGGCTTTGCTGAGTGAACTCTGAGAGTGTAAACTCGTCAACATAAATTGATTTTTAGACTTTGGGATATTACATTTGGAAAAAAAAGCTACAAGTGGTAACTACTTGCAGGGAAATCAATGTTGGCGACACATTCGAAGACATGAGTTTTGGATTTTTACCCTTTTTCATATTCTTTGCCATAGTTTTATAACAATTCTTGGGCAAAAAATAACGACTTTAACTGAATCTAGTGATCACTTTGAGGTGTTTTTACTTGAAATCACTGAATTTCTCTGAGCACATGTTTTCAAGGCAACAGTTGCACTGGCAAAAATTTTCTAGCCTTTGAAAGATTCGTTTTTTCCGTCTGTCCCTTGTTTTCAACTTTGATATCAAGGTTTTAAGTTTTTGATTTTTGTTTAATCATCAATTTCAAGTTTTTTTCTTGTCACAAAGTGTCGAATTTGGATTGTTTGAATTTTTATATTTTTCAACTGGAATAAATTTTTTTCAGTTTTCTGACTTTCTGATGGCAAAATAGAAGTTTAGGCCAATCGCAGTTTTGTTTTTTTTTGAGTTTTTTATTCTAAAATAATTTTATCAACGTAAATTTTGTTTTGTTTTCAAAGACAAAAAATATCCCAGCTAGCTTAAAAACTGCTCTCCAATGAATTTGGAGTTCGTTATGTGTCTTCACTGAGATTCAAAAAAAGTTTTAACTTTTGATTCAAAAGCAGCTTAAAAATCTTAACACGCTTTTCTGGATTACTCAGCTTCAAAACTCTTCTTTATTTGCTAATCATGCTCACCTTCATTTCAGTGCCAGCTGACCCATTCATATCAAGGAATGCTCTTTCTTCTGACAAAGCATCAATCACTGTACACTTCAACGAAGTGACAGCTTCGAAAGGATCACGAGATCACATTGAGGTATTTAAAAAAAAACAGTAAAATCTTTTGTGTTTTCATCGCAGAAGATGCTTTAAGCAACAAAAAAAATAGGAAAAATGAGAATTTTTCGATATTTGGGTATTTGATTAGTTTGCCGTGCTTATCATAGATTATGCTTTTTAGCTTAGGCCATTATAATGTAACTTTTTCTTATCATCAATCCGGTTTTGGGCCGTAAAATTTGTTTTTAACAAACAAAATTTCAACAAATTTTTTTTGAATTTTGAAGGAACTTTTAACCAAAATTGCTTTGACGAAAATTCATTAAATCTCATATCACTAACTGAAAAAGGCATAGATAACCCAAACTTACTTTTTATTCGTAATAGAAATTTTTAGGTTATTCTGATTTTCGTAGTGTTAGAGTTCTTGATATTTCGAAGGACATTTTCCAATGGTCCGCATTGAACTCATAATTATAAAGAAAAACTTAAAGGCAATATTTAAAATTTGATTTTTAAAAATTATTCAAGTGTTATTAATGGCAACAGAAAAATAAGAAAACTAAAATTATTTTGTAATTGCGTTTTTGATTAATTTGTAACGCTTAATAATTTTTTTGTAGTTTTTTAGTTTGTAAATTATATTTTTCCAGTTTTCCACGCTCACTTCACTTTAATTTCCTACAACTTTTACAGCAGTATTCAATGCTTGCTGATGAAACGAGCTCTCTCGAAAAGCACAGATCTCCACAAGTTTTCATGTAGATTTTCTTTTTGGTAAGTTTTCTCACCTGTATTTTCAGTGAAGTTACTAGTTTAGCTTGTCTCTTTTTGAAGGTTTCTACTCTCTTCCCTAATTCATCTCCTGCATTCACTAACGCGGGCTCATCTGGAAAAGACATAGTCATTACTGGGCTAGTTCCAGGCACTAGTTACACTGTCACTCTCAAGAATGTAATCGGTATTGCAGGCAAAACTCTATGTGCCTCTAGTCAGGATGATGGCTACTTCAACGTACTGAAAAGCGGAGAAGTCATGGTCACTAGATGCACAGGTACGTCTCAAATGACATAATTCCCAATTGGCATAAAATTGAAAAGTTTCCCAAATAGCATAAATTTTATGCAACAATGGCATTGAAAAAACTGAGAACACTTTTCATGAACAATGTGCGAAAATTAATTTAGTTGTCAATTCAAATATTGATTGACATTTTATGTTGAAAAAATTGTAGAATTTGTTTTCAAAAACGAAAAGGATAAGCTTTCGGTTAATGATTAGCTTCTTGTGGACAAATTTTCCGCCAAATTTGTCGCTTACCATTTTTTTGGAAGCAATTAGTTCCAAATCTTGTTCACGTTTTTTCGTTCTTGACAAAATGTAGCCTTAGAAATTGAAAGAAAACGTTCGAATTACAATGAAAACTTGAAATTTATGCCATTTGGGAAGTTATCGATGTTAACTATTCTCATTTGTGGCCGCTGAAGCTGGTAGGGATTTCTCTGAAAAAATTGGATTAAACAATGTGAACATGTTTAAGTCAACATTTAAAATAAACATTCAAGGAAAATGATTCTGAATTTGGTTCGTGAAATTTGAGAGTATAAATTCCTCAGCAGAAATTACAATGCGAACTTCTTATTTTCAATTGAGACGGCATTTGATTTTTTTTCTGCAGGGAAACCATATCGCCGGAATAATCGGATGTCTGCTCTGGCAGTTATCAATTATCATCTTTTTTTTTTGATATTTTCTTGAATTTCATGGGCTTAAATTGTGAATAAAGCTGAAACAGCAGCTCAAATTTTAAGTTTAAGTTTAGATACGTTTTTTAAAATTAATCCAATACTGCAAAAAAGAGAAATCATTCCATGATACTTCAGCAAGGTTTGTGGAAAAAATGTTGATCTTTTCGATAATCTAGCAGATTTGAGATTGAAAGAAGGTTTTCTTCTAATGTTCAGTTCTTGGATGTCAAATCACGAGTATAGGTCAATCAAAATTTTGTCTTTTTCGGATTTACTCAGTTCGAAATGGTTCCACCAGAAACTCGTTTTCAAATTTTGAAGGATGCAAGATCTTCGCGACAATTGTTTTAGAATCGCTATTGATAATTCAAGATATGAAAAGTTGTCATGAAAAATTTGAGGAGGTTTAGTTTAACAAAGATTTATTAACGCTCACAAAAAAAAAATTAGGAAATTATCAGTTTCACAGCTACAGTAAGTATCAATTGAAATAAATGTTATGCGCGTAGTTCAACTTGTAAAATCCAAGTAACAAAAAAAACTAATGCGTCAACATATCAATTAAATGTTGCAAAAAATGCGGTGAAATTAAAAACTTAATATAGCTTTCCTAAGTATCTCATGAAAGTTTTAAAACTCTGTTATTTCATAATTGCAATTTCTGTTTGATAAATCAGGTTTTGTGAAAATTATTGGTATTTACTGGTATTTTTTCGTATTTAAAGAAAAAAGTTCGTTATCAAATTTGAAAGATAAAATTCTATTGGAGTCGTTTTTCGCTGGTTTGCGTATGTACCTTTATACCTAACATACGCAAACCAGCCTTTACACTTAACATACGCATGTTATACTTAACATACCCATAATTGAATAAATATTATGATTGAGCGTATCTGCTTAGTACAATTGTTTTAACGGCTAATTGATGCATCATAGTACACTTATTCGTCCGTTGCCCTCATTTTTTTGCAAATAGTCATTATTGTTATTACATATCCTTCAGGTGATGGATTTTTTTTTGTCATAGAACCTTTTGAATATGATAGTTTTTAACTCAAAATTTGTTTGTTTTCTAAAAACAAGGCCTTCTGTTGCTAACTATCAATTGTTCTAGCACATTTTTAGGCTATGCAGTTAGTTTTCAATCCCATCCTTCAAGCCTTTTACAAACAGTAAGTGAAGATAATCCATATTTTTTGGCGTAGTAGAATGTTTTTGCCTTTGTTATTTCGAGATCATAGACTACTCGTTTAATTTCAAGACTGGGCTGTACCTTTTCAAAGACATGCAAAGAAACTGTGTTTGTAACTTGTTTTTGTTATTTTTGTCAGAAGATAGAGTGCTAATTTTTTTAGATTAAAGCTTTTCGTATGAGTAAAAGATATATCAAAAATTTTTGAGGGCTCAGCTTATGCTGATTTTATTCTTAGTTCTAGCTCGAAATAAGCTGAGATAGGCGTTCAACACTATCCAATTCGAAAAGAGATTTATCAAAGATTTTGGTCGGTATTTGTTATCAGCACAAGGGTACTGTCGATGATATTTCTCTGGTATGTGTTCGTTTTGATAAAAACATAGCATGAAACTCTGAAACAGAAAATTGGTTATGCCTTTATGCAAAATTTTCAAAAACTTTTTCTGAACTCACAGCCCACTCGAAATCTAAATCCAATCATTTTTACATTAGATGCTCCTCACAGCCCTCAGACACAAACCACTTTCACCTCCCCGTTAAAGTAAAAAGGTGTGGTTGGTGTGGGATTAAACTGTGTCAAGGGAATTTAAACAAGAAGGAAGGTCTGGTTTTAAACAAGGGGGAAATAAACCAGGATTTTTAAGCGGGGCAAATGGTCTAAACTTGGGGTATTGGACCAGAGAGAGTATATAAAGAAAACAGCAAAAAAAAAACAAAAAAAGTAATCTCGCTTTACCTGATGAAACGTGCATTATGGTAAAAGCAACTGTTAAGTTTTGAATATTCTACACTAATTGGAAATTTCCAAAAAAACCAACAATTTGAGCATAATGCATCATATTGACAAAACCGATTAAAATGGATTTTTTTGATTTAACAAAAAACAAATTCGAAATCATTTTTATTCCATTTTATTCAAATTTTTTTGAATTTTAGATAGACTGCTCTAAAAATCTAATTTAATTGATCATTTTCTATAAAACTACAGTGAGGATAAATATAAAGGACACTACAGTTTTTAGGAGAGTTTGTTACCCCAAAATCTTTTAGAACCACATTTCAAAACTTTATTTGCTCTTGTCTCCGACAATTGAAAATAGTTTTTATTAAATTTTCGAGGTTTGATCTACAAAAAAAATTGCTCAAATCTTTATTAATTTTTTTCCTCCATCATTGCTAAATTATTATCAGTTATCATCCACAAACGTTTATCACCCCGCTCCTAGTAAATTGATACTTTTAGCAATTTTCTGTCTCAGGGGGTGATAAAAACATGTTTGAGCCTGATTTTTCCGAGTATTTAATTTACCATTAAAACCTGAGACCAATATTTCACACGCAAAATTAATGTTTCTGATTGGTTCAAAATCCAATGCATCAAAAAACGAGAATAATTGCACAATCAAGCCGCAGAAAACATTCTAACGATGAATTAAAAGTTGAAAACGTTCTAACGATGAATAAAAAATTAGCTTTTTACAAAAAAAATCATATGTCGCGAGCGGAGTAACTTCATATTCTACCGTCATTGGTTTGTTTATTTCAGCTCTCGAAATCCATTGTCCAAGCAAGCTTAAATTTCAGATTGTTTCAAAGGTCGTACTCAATGACACAACAATGAAATTAATATGGATACTTTTAAGTTTCTTTTTGTATCAAAAAACGCCTCGAATTTCAAAGTCCTTCGAATTATTTTATCATTTTGTTTTGAGAAGTTAAACAAAACAGAAATTCAAAGAAAAATTAAATACGTATATTCAATACAAGTTTGAGATGTTAAAATAAAACATATTGAAATTATAGAATTTTTGCTAGTTGTTCAACTGCTTCCCTTTCGCAAAAGTGAAATTTCGCAAAAGTGAAACTTTCGCAAAAGTGAAAATAAATGCGCCTTTGCTCTGCTTCAATAAAGTTTCTGAAATTTTATAGGTATTCGAACGTCGAGAGATTCGAATACAATTGAAGAACATTTTGGAATTAGTTTCTGTCTAACAGGGGCGTCCCAGTCAACAACATACTCTTCGTCACTGCTTTTATCCACAGTGCCAGCAAATCCCGGGTCTGTGACTTGAATTGAATCGTCAATTTCAAACTCAGAAGTCACACTTCTCGTTTCCTGTTCAAAATAACTATCAAAAACTACATCAGTGAGACTATAAATATTTGGTAGATTGGCCATGAGCGCAGAAGAAGTTTGTTGATCAGTGGAACATAGTTTGTAGTGACCGTAAGCTAAAGAATGCACACCATCGGCTTTGTAAAACCGTTTGTTATCCTAGGCTGGCAAAATTATCTTGTTAACTTCGCTGATTGACAAAAAGTGGCCTTTTGATTCAGTATTTCGTAGGCTCACGCGTGGAATTTTTCCCGAACAAAACAGATTTGTGTTGTTTATGTTGTAAAGTTGTCCTAACTGCACTGATTACACCTTTTTGCACTTTTTTGTTCTGTTTTTGTCTCCATCGATATACGCGTCCCAGCTTTTATTCAGATTATTGTCAAAAATCACTATTTGTTTCCGTTTCCAGTGATTTTAACGAAATTTTTAGAGTAACCAACAATTTTTTTTAAGTCTACCCACAATTCTTAATGTTCTTTGGAAAATTATAAGTACCACATACTTCTGATTGGTTCATCTTTCGATCAAATTTCACAGCGATTGGGTAATTTTCATTTCACATACCAAACTATTGATTGTCTTTACATACTGTACAATTTCAGATTTTAGTCGAATGTTATTTCATCAACTGGCGAAGTTTTCAATCAACTTGACCGCGCTGTTAATCACAATTTGAAATAAAAAGGAAGAGAAAAAACGCTAAGTGTTGCAAAGAAAAGACTGTTACGCAAAAAATTCAAATGTCACTATTCATGTTCTAACCAGAAACTAGCTTGCACACAAACTATCGGTTAAGCTTTTCTAGAAAGAGTTCGTAAAGTACAGAACTCAAAATATGAACATGACTTATTTTGAAAAATTTGACTGTTTTATTGATGGTAATGGATATGTATACAGTGATCATGTCATTTTTTCAATAAAAAACCTTTGATAATCCATCTG